GTTTTGGAATCGCTGTCTACCTCCTGAAGTCCCCTGCTTCTGGGCTGACATAGTCTGGGAAATTTTGAATCTTGGGTCCTTTCTACAATACATTTCATTATGACTCGAAGGCTAACTTTCTTGGATCTGTCTTTCATAATACCCGATCTTTGACCTATAGTTTGTGACACATGCCCTTGTGACAGTGGAGGAGATGCAAGACTGACAGATTTGGGCTAATTTATTAGAGTGATTGAATATATCAGATGGAGAAGCATGGATTTCCCTATTGGGTATAATACATATATGGACCAAACCATGACCTTTTCTTAAGAACTTAGGTGATAATTACCATAAGTAAGTGTAAGTTGGTCAGTCTATGTTTTATGTACTGCGATTGGCAAATCTCTAGGGCTTTGTAAACCTTCCTATAAAGTGTGGACCACAATTATCACTAAACAGGAAGGAATAAGAACCTAGGAATGAAATTTTGTAATGTACATTAATTTGTTAATGTACATTAATTTGTAAAATGTTATTGTGTAAGCATGTACACATTAATAAGAGCATGCTTATATCTATCTGAAAAAGATACAGTCAGTAAAACTTTTATATCAATAGCCCTTTACCTATACAAAATTAATCTAGCAGAGGCTGATTTTCTTTTTCTGATTTGGCAGTTTTTCCAAAATATGTATCTAGGAAAAGAGTAGTTCTTCTAACACTGAATCTACTTATAAAATAGCATGCCAAGTATACCTAAGTATATTTTCATCTCTTCTTTTATTAGGTGAGGGAGTATGCCTTTTGTATTATTTTCTAGCCATCTGAAAACTGTCAAAGATGACTTGGGTGTATAACACAATGGGACAGTTTTATTATTCTAAACTTAGGGTTAGCTCAGGCGTAGTGGCTCATGCCTCTAATCCCAGCTCTTTGGGAGGCTGAGTAGGGAGGATTGCCTGAGGCCAGGAGTCTGAGACCAGCCTGGCTGACAGTGAGACACCATCTCTACAAAAAATATGTTTATAATTAATTAGTTAATTGTTTTAGGGTCAAATTTGGGGGAAGATAATAACAAAAGAGGCTACTAGAGGAAATCAGCTGCTTAGTTAAAATTAGAAAATAGACATCTAAGAGAAAAATAAATATAAGAGCAAATCTAAGAGCAAAATAAACATAACAGAAAGAAGCACAACTATAAATATAAATTTAGCTCTTCCTGAAATGAACAGTCTGTGAGCACAAGAGGTAGCACAGAAGGATATGAATAACCTTGTGTGGATTGAAAATGTAGATGAAAGTGAGGCATATTAAATCTTCTGCTATCATAATAGGATATGTGAAATATAAATAATAAGTTTAGGCCGGGCGTGGTGGCTCAAGTCTGCCATCCCTGCACTTTGGGAGGCCAAGGCAGGTGGATCACTACAGGTCAGCACTTATAGACCAGCCAGGACAACATGCCAAAACCCTGTCTCTACTGAAAATACAAACACTAGCTGGGCATGATGGTGCATGCCTGTAATCCCAGCTACTCAAGGCACAAGAATCACTTGAGCCACAGAAGCAGAGGTTGCAGTGTGCTGAGATGGCTCCATTGCACTCCATCCTGGGCGACAGAGGGAAATTCTGTCTCAATAAAAAAATTAATTAAATAATAAGTTCATATAATCCCATTATGAGGTCAAATTACATATTCTAAGATCACTTTTCATTGTAATTATTTCATCCTCTCTATTGTTCCGAAACCACTCTTATTTAAATTAGTGTATAATTATATGTGTATATCTAAACACAGACCCAAATATGCACACATAAATACATATCATAGAAAGGTATAAATTGAGCTTTAAAATATAATTAACCTCTCAACATATTAGTAGATGATACAGATACAATATTGATTTTACTATTTTATTTTGAGGTTTATAAAAAAGGCTTTATAAAAATACTTTCATATATAATTAAGAATCTAAAAATTGTTGCATTGGAATTTGGTATGTTTGATGCTTTGTGTTTATAAATTCTGATTTTCTTAGGAATTGTCCAGATATCCAAAAAAAATCACTCATTATTTTCAAGGTCTCAAAATCAACTAGAGAGCTTAGAAATTAAATTTAGGTTGACATTAAAGAAAAATACAATCACTGTCAGTATTAGAATTTTGGTTTTATGCAAGCCGGGCTTAATATCTAGATGATGGTTGCTAGGTGTAGCAAACAACCATGGTACATGTTTACTTATGTAACAAACCAGCATATCCTGCACATGTAACCCTGAACTTACAATAAAATAAAACAAATATTTTTGCCTTTATAATATTACAGTGAAAACACTTACATAGTCCAAATAGAATTACTATATACCCACATATTTGCGGTTTTATCTCAAGTTTGCAAGAAGCAATCATTTTGCAAAAAGATGACTTATTATAATCCAGTTTCTCATTATTATCTTAAACATTTAATGAGAGTAACGTTAGCCGACCTGAGCAGTGAAATCAGTATATAGGAAATTTAGCAAGTTCAGATTAATGAGTCTTTTTATGAGAAAGTAATCCCAAACCATGCAAATGGCTTGGGAAAGGACAAGTGGGAGGGCTATGTGGGGTGAGAGTGAAATAAAGAAGAGATTTTCACATACATTTTTATCACCACTGTAAAAAAAAAATTGACAACTCCCAATTATTTGATATTTTTATAAAATATATGATACATTATGGTATTTATTATGTGAATTTAACATATTTACAAGTAGAAGCTTATAAAATCAATCAAAATGGAAGAAATTGAATTTTAAACATTTACTTTCTATGTCCCACTGGGTCATCTGGGTATGCATTGGTTTCTGTGGAGACCGTTTCTATATTACCAATTTAGACATTCCAGTCTGCTACTTAAAACACTAAATAGTTCTCTCTTAACCTCTATAATATTCAGCTTTAGGTAAATAGTGCCAAAACAGTTCACAAAATGTGAGTTCTAATTTACATTTCTGTAAAGAGTTTATGAACCTTCCAATTTGCTCCTCATCCTCACTAATATTTGGTATTTTCAATATTTTATATTTTGGTATGTTTATGTTCTACAACCACTGGTTTTTAAGAGTACTTTTTAATACTAAAGAAAATAAAACTAATGTCAACAATAATAAAAAAACAATCCTTTAGAGCAGAGCCTTTTCATTCTGAATAGCAGCAATGTTTCTCAAGGTCTTGTGACTTTAAAGAACACAGTTGATCAGTTCTCTGTTCTTGATGTTGTTATATTTCAATGAACAATTATTCTTGGTATTATGTTCTTGTTACATATTAACAGAACTTGTCTCGCAATTTTGGAAAATATTTCATGAACAGAAGCAGTTTTTATAGAGTTGCAATACTGAGAAGCTTTGAGCTTTGAAATTATATCAGTGCTCTTGAGATGACTTGCTATTAGAAATCGTATGAATAAACAAGTGGGACTACATTAACCTAAAAAGTTTCTACACAACAAAGGAAATACTCAACAGAATGAAAAGGCAACCCATGGAATGGGAGAAAATATTTGCAAACCATGCATCCAATAAAGAGTTAATACCCAAACTATATAAGAAACTTACAAAATTCAATGTCAAGAAAAAACTAACAAGTAACCTGATTTTAAAAATGAGCAAAGGACCTGGGTATTTTTCCAAAGAAAACATACAAATGGTCAAAAGGTACATGAAAAGTTGATGGTAGTTAATAATATGTAGTGTATATCTGAAATTTGCCAGGAAATAGATCCAAAGGATTTTCATCTCACACAAACTATGTGAGGTGATGGATATGTTAATTGACTTGATTGTGGTAATCATTTCACAGAGTACACATATATTAAATCATTACTTCTGTAAGAGTTAATCAAAGTTTTCTTACTTGCCCAATAATATATTTCTACCCATTTTTGCATTATTATACATTTTGAGGTAATTTCAAGGGTACAAAAAGTTTACAATTGTCCTATCTTAAAAATAATGAAGAAATTGTGGTAAAAAGAAATTGAATAGCTGATGAAACCAAAATTGTCAACTTTATTAGGAGGGGAAGATAAATTGCAGGACTTTTGAGAGTGAAAAAAGACTAACAGAACTCTTGACTTAAGGAAAACTATCCAACAGCCTAAAAGCGTTTTTCTCCAGTCTAGAAGACATAGAGAGCCCTCAAGTTACACTGCTTTAAGCTTTCTTCACAGGGAAATATCAGAAGTAGGGAAGAATGTTGTGAATTCTCTGCTTGTGTTATTTACCTCTTTCTCTATTTTGTTGTTCATTTCTTTCTTATTGAAATATAAGAACCAGCTTAGGTATATTTTTGTTTATAGAATCATATGGATAGATAAAAGCACTTGAAGAGCACTCCTAAGTTTGTGGCTGATCTTTTAATTTGTCTATGGTGACTTTACTATTAACACATTTTTTTTTTTCAATTTCGGTATAATCAGATTTTGTTTGAGGATTTTTCTTTGGAAATGACCTAAGGAGAGAAGTGTAATAAATTTGAATAAAAGGAGAGATATATTATGTCCCAGTTTCAGACTCAAAATTGTAAATAATTAATTCTACCTAAAATAAAGTAGTAATTCACTATAATCCAAATCAAAATACTTAGCGTATGTTTTTCTTGTGAAACGTAGCCAGTAGGTCTTAAATTTGCCAGAAATAAAGTACAAAAGAGGTTCAGAAGAAATATATGTAAGGAACAACTTAACCACATCTTTTATTAGGTGAAAAAGAGATTTGCTGCTGCTTCTTTTTTTCTACGAAATCACCTATCCTAGATGGTTGAATGGAAATTGAACAGACACACGTTACCATTACACTTTAAAGTTACCTCAGAGGAACATTTCTTCTCTTTAGCTGTATTTCGGTTTAACTTGGTCATTCTTCCCTAAATGAAGAGCCTCGTGCTTTCCCCATCACGGAGAGGGGGCGGAGCATCTTTTAGGAGCTTGGAAGCAAGCTGCGCCCAGCCAGTCTTCTGGGAGGAGCTGCACTACACACAGGCTTCCAAGGCTTCCGCGGAAAAGCTTGGAGGTAATGGCTGTCGTAAATGCTAGTTATTTTCAAGGAGTTCTCGAAGATTTGGAATAAAGGTTAGAAAAGAAGAGAGCGCTGCTTAGGAATTACGGGAAAGGACTGTCGTTTTGTGAGAGTCGTTTCTGGGAGGGAATTAATATCTGGGTTTTGTGTTCTGTTAGATTATTTTAGAAGTCCACAGTCGGGGAGGTGGTAATGAACATTACACCTGCGAAAAAATATTCTTCAAGAGGTGGCAAAAGCTAACTTTTTAACAGAGCATTTTGTGTTTCTAGCAAAAGGCAGTGGTGGCTGAGATAAATGATGAAACAAAAGTTGGGAGATTAATCTTCCTTATTTTGAAAAAGGCTATGATAATCTTAAATGAAAAATTAAGTTGTTAGTTGGGGATGTTGGTTTTTTTATATTACTTTGAATGTGTTGATTGTGTTTCTAACAAATCTTCCTATTTTGGTGGAGTATGTTAGTAATCTAAAGTAATGCATAACTGCAAATTCGAGTATCTCTAAGAATTAGCAGTCTGGTTATTTGTCAAGGGATACATAATGACTTATTATAATAGCTTTTTAAATAATGTGCAAAATATGATCTTTGTATTTCTATCTGTCAAGAGAATTGTATATTTCTATTTGTACTGCAATAGAAAAAAATCTAAAGACCATAACAGTAACAGGTATATCTTAATATAATAAAACACAACAAACAGCATGCCTAGTAATGAAGGATGCCTGATAAAAAAGGATGTCAGGGGAAAAAGGAGGAAAATTTCCATTTCTTTCTTCCACATTTTACTTAGCATGTAGTTCCTATGTCAGCATAAAAACTGAGATGAGAACTTAAAATCATGGGGGGAAAGCCACTTTCCCCAAAATAGGGAAAACTTATATAAACATGGAAAGGTGTTCAAATATGTGGCTAAATAAATGTAATTTCAAATAGCATATTCAAATATATATGTGATGAGGAAAACATCAAAAAGATTAGACTCAAATGTAAGCCGTGAACAACTCATGGTTTGAGTACTGATGACGTGTATTTTCATCTTTAGATTTTATGTACTTTTGATTCTTTTGGAAATGAAAATGGAGCTGAAAAGGAAATAATCCATTATGTTACAGACACTTGAGCAAATAGCCACACACACATTCCATTGTCTTTTGCTGCGGTGGGATTTTTCTGTGGGTCTAAGAAGGCTCATTATCTGATTGCTTGTGCTTTTCTTGCAGTTCAACTATTGAGGCTATAGTCCAGACTCTGGTTCAAGCAGAACATGTTTATCTTTATACTCATGAGGAATAATTCATAAAATGGTTTAAACATATTATGACATAGTTGTATAGGATAGTACATCCATAGTGTTGAGTACTGCGCAGCTATAAAAGGAATGAGCTAACGCTAAATGCAACGGTTACAAAAAATGTCCAAGGTAGATTCTAAAAATAAGCAAATTGGTGGCCTGTACCATGTAATCCTATTTGTTTACCAAAAAGAATGTGCATGCATTAGTACGGTGTATGCAATAAAATTCTGGAAACATAGATGCTACTTTATTAGTTGGAGAAATCTGGAAATATACATGCTACTTTTTTAATTGGAGATATAAGTGTTCTTATATCTCCACACATATCTTCAATTAATAAAGAGAATATTTTAATCTTCTATATATTACATTTCCCCATTTTAAAAATTTCATTTTGAAAAGAGCAAGCCTGAAATAGTCATCATAAGAAAAACATAACATTTTAGAAATGTGGGAAAAATTTTGTAAACCAATTCACAAAAAGATGATATGGAAAATAATTATTAATATGGAAATATGTTCAAATATATTACTGGAAAAATAAAGAGTCTAGTTTCAAAAATCACCCACTTTGATAAGTATCTATAGAAAAATATATAGAAATATATAGAGCAAACCATTACATTTTGACCATTGTGTGGATTTGCTTTCTTCCTTGGAAATCCAAAAGATAAAAAAAGATGTACAACATTCATGAGAGATATTATAGTGAAAAGATTTTAAATGAGAACATTATGATCCCATTTTTGTATAACACATGCATAGAACTCTTAAATTGAGAATGAAAATTTCTAGATGCCTGAGTGCCTGCAGTTCTGGTTCTGGTCACAAGATGGTGCTTGCCAGGTTGCCTAAGCTTCGTCCAGGCAAACATTTTTATGAAGTGGACAAAGCAATGAAATATGTTTTGTATTAGCTGACTATGAGACAGCATGTAGATTGTGATTGAAATTCCATTTAAAGTACTGTAAATATCTAGAAGAAAAATCCCCACCAATAACTGATATGAGGACTCAAACAGAAATCATAAAAAGTGCTGCTACATAGAGTCTGGCCCATAGTAGACACAAGTCAATTGTCCTTTCCCTTCTCCCTTTTCTCCACTTCATAATTTTCCTGAAGGATGATTTTAGCATGAACGAAATAACATAACTGACACAGAGAACATTTCATATTATAAGAACATGAAGGAAAATAGATGGCATCTATATCATGGATGAGATTTTGCCTTATTCCTGTGTTTTGGAATGACATGCCTGTTAGAGTTTGGGTAGGGAAATTTATTTACACCTTTTCCATTTCATTGGTTTGACTTCCTGCCAGCCAAGCCCCAGGAAAGACAATGAAGCCACAGAAGTGAAGAGCGGGATAGAGACTCTGCTGGACAAGCAGTTGGAGTGAGAATCAAGACAGCTGGACCACAGGACCAGACCCACCAGGATCCACCTGACAGTGGGTAATACTCTTCCCATTTCACAAAACATTTCATGGCAAAAACATGTTGAGAACTTGGAGAATAATGTATTTTGCTTCCTGCTCTTTAGCCCTCATAGCATTTTAAATTAAAAGCCACATTTTATGTAAGGATCATGTTAGGTTGAGAATTTGGAGTATAATTCGTTTTGCTTCCTGTTCTACAGCTATAATGTTTGTAATTAAAAGTCATAACTCCTAGTTTTGGGAAAGAATCTTATATATTATTTCACTATGAAGAAATCATGCAAGTGGCTATTCAGGTGTCTACCTGACTCTCTAGTCCTTGATGACTATGTTTGGTTGGCATACCATATACTAGATAACATGGTTACAAAGGTTTCTTAGGACCTGCTTAAGGTCTTACGGCCTTCTTGAATCACCTGTATAGTCATGCATGGCTTAACAACGGGGACATATTCTGAGAAATGCTTCATTAGGCGATTTTATCTGAGAACATCATAGACTGTACTTGCACAAACTTAGATGGCATAGCCTACTGCATGCTTGGGCTGTATGGTATAGCCTATTGCTCCTATACCACAAACCTGTATACCATGTTACTGTATTGATACTGTAGGCAGTTGCAACACAATAGTAAGTATTCATATATTCAAACATATCAAAACATAAAAAAGTTATGGTAAAAATATGACATAAAAAACAAAAAATGGTAAACCTGCATAGGGCCGTTACTATGAATGGAGCTTGCAGGACTGGAAGTTAGTTTGGGTGAGTCAGTGAGTGAGTGGCATGTAAATGTGAAGGCCTAGAACATTATGTACACTACTGTAGACTTGAATACTTAGGTGACATCAAATTTATTAAAATTTTTTTTCTTTCCTTAATGATAAATTAACCTTAGCTTCTGGTAATTTTTTACTTTATAAATGTTTAATTTTTTACATCTTTTAACACTTTTGTAATAATACCATAATACACAAACACATTGTACAGCAGTACAAAAATAACTTCTTTCTTTATATCCTTGTTCTATAAGCTTTTTTTTCTATTTTTAAAAATCTTTATCTTTTTTCTTTTCAAACGTTTTTTGTTAATCACCAACACACACATTAGCCTACGCAGGGTCGGGATCATCAATATCACTGTCTTCCATTTACACATCTCGTCCCACTGGAAGATCTTCAGCGGCAGTACCACTCATGGTGCTATTGTCTCCTAAAATAACAATGCCCTTTTCTAGAATACCTCCTGAAAGACCTGCTCTGTGGCTGTTTTACAGTTAATTTCTTTTAATAAGTAGAAGAAATACACTAAAATAAGATTAAAAAGTATAGTATAGGAAGTATATAATCTACTGTCATTTATTATCAATTATTAGGTATTGTACATAATTGTATGTGCTATACTTTTATGCCACTATCGGTGTAGTAAGTTGTTTATGCCCGCATCACCACAAACACATGAGTGATGAGTTGTGCTTCAGTGTTACGATGGCTGTCACCAACATCACTAGGCAACAGGAATTTTGCAGCTTTATTATAATCTTACAGGAACACCGTCATATATGCAGTTTGTCATTGACTGAAATGTCATTATGCACCACATGACTGTATTCTCTTAAATAATATTTTGTAGTGGTTTAATAAACTTAGTTTTTTTCCAAGCAACTATCAGAAATCTGTGACTCATAACCTTGGGCTCTCAGTGAGATTGTTGATGCTGAGCCTTAACAATCTCATTGTGTCCGTGAGCTCTCTTTTGATTGCCTTGAGTGGCAGCTTAGAAAAGATTAGAACCCAGCATTCACTTACGATAACTCAGAGGGTTGCAAAAACCCAAATTATCCAAGAACGAAAATAATGTTCCAGATACTGCCAAAGCTCCTCCCACACAATTCCCTTTTTATTATACAACAGAGAAAATAAAGATGGAATATTGGGTTTGTGTTATAATACTTCTCTTTTCTGCACCCCCACAAATATATTCCACATCTCTAACCCCACCTTTCTGATACCCACTACTCATTTTTCTGACTTGTATCTTGTCTATATTCTCATCGTTTACCTTCTTCCTACTTAGGAAACTAAATTTTTTATCTGATCCCTTTTCTTCTTTGCCATGTTTTTTTAATGCAATCTTATTATCATCCATTGAAAATACTTTATTCAAGCTACTTTGTAAAGGTCTAGGGGGATAAAAGAGGCTACAACAGGCCAGAACCATTTACTATCCCTGGGGCAATAGAATCAGACTTCTTAAAAAACAGACAAAGAATAGAATGAGGCGTCTGAAAAAACAAACAAAACCAAACCAAAAAAATTTCTTTTCCAGATAATTAGGTAGCTAAAACTCTTATTATTATTGTTTTGTTAAATATATTAATATTTGGACAACCTAGATTAATATAGAGATACAGGTGACCCATGCATCCTTGTTGACTATGCTATCTAGGTTATGAGAGATGACAACCTAGCATTGTTGTCAAGTATTGGAAAGTTTTCTGTTCACTGAGGTAATAAAGGTTTCAAACCCACATTGTCTGAATTTTTGGCTGGCTGGCTGAAAACTTCAGAAACATATCCCTGTCATAATGCCTCGGTGACAAACTAGTAAAGGTTAAACATAGGGTTTGCCAACAGAAATCCATATCTCATCAAAGAACTCTTTATGTCATTTTAAATGTGGTTACCAGGAAAATTTTGACCCAGGCTGACCCTTCTGTTATGAGTATCTGGAAGAATGATGGCTTCTTTATTTGGAGTCCCCAGTGCAGACAGTTTTCTTTCTTTGTCTTTGATCTTTATAGGAAGAGTGTAGCAGGAGATGTGTTTACCTGCTCACTGTGATAATGGGGTTGTGAGGGCCTCACCAACTTCACCTAATTTTACAAGTTTTGTTTTTATACATAGCATAACATTATTGTAAGACACCTGAACCTCAGAATCATTATGCACTGGCAATGTGTAGGTTTTAATGCTTCCTGGGAAATAACACCTGAACGTTAAAGGCAATAAAAATCTAATTTAAATCTTAATTTCGTGAATATTTTGTGAATAAAAAAGCTCAGTTAAAGAGTATAAAAATACAACTTTCCTGTACTGAATTGGCAGTTGCAAACCGCAAAGCACAGGAGCAAGGAATTGCCAACTGTTAATGAGGGTAAAATGAAAATGACATTTCTCTGTATAACGAATGATTATCAGCCCCTGTCCAGGAATCGCCATATCTGAAAGGGAAGTTGCTTGCAGGCCCCTACAATGCAAAAGGAACTTCTTCTAAATGCTCTAAGGCCAAATGAATGCTGTCATGCAGAATGGTCATTGCAAAAGCATAGTGCAGGCTGGAAGCCGTGGCTCACGCCTTGTAATCCTAGCATTTTAGGAAGCCAAGGCAGACAGATCACCTGAAGTCAGGCGTTTGAGACCAGCCTGGCCAACATGGCAAAACTCCGTCTTTATTAAAGAAACAAAAATGAGTTTGGTGTTGTGGCACATGCTTGTAATCCCAGCTACTCAGGAGGCTGAGCCAGGAGAATCACTTGAACCCAGGAGGCAGACGTTGCAGTGAGCTGAGATCCTGCCACCGCACTCCAGCCTGAGC